TTAGATCAGATCAGATCAGAAAGATTCAGATCAGATCAGATCAGATCAGAAAAATTCAGATCAGATCAGAACTTAAAAAATTCAGATCAGAAACATTCAGATCAGGCGAAGAGAACAGCTTCTAAGAAACATGATTCGCAGGATACTTAGAATGCATAGAATCCAATCAAAATGCAGAGAGATATGTATGCTTAGTACCACTTCGATTGGATTTTATGGAAGAAGGGTGTGTCGTAGACTCTAGTTCCACACAAAAAAATTCAAACAGATATGTTTAATATAGATGTATATTAACCAATTATCTTAGATAAAAAATTGTGAAGTATTGGATGGAGTTTATTATCATCAAAACTCTCTTTAAGATGGTACATTTCGAAGGTCAAGGATTTCTGATAAAAACCAGTCATAGAACAATAGACTAATTGTCTGCCCCAAATTCTAATTCTAGAGTAACGACTATTCAGTTGTGAATCTAAATACTCCCTCCGTCCCAATTTACTTAGCCAAACTTGTTTTTTCAAGTCAATGGTACCTAACTTTGACTGATTATATATCTTTATAGAAAAATATTAATAATATAAAAATTATATGAAAATGTTCTTTGTTGAAAATACTTTAATAAAAGTGTAAAATTATTAATTTTTTCATAAATATATTAGTTAAAATAATTGGTCAAAGTGTACTCACCTTTGACCGGAAAAGTCAAGATTGACTAACTAAATTGGGACGGAGGTAGTATGAATTACACTATTTGTGCATAACTATGTTTGTATGTAGTGATTTTACATTAATCACACACTTTACTTTGACCATAATTTTCTACTAATATATACTCACTTCGTCTCATTTATATTGTTCCGTTTTACTTTTTTGGAAAGTCTCACTTAAATTGTCTCATACCATATTTGGCAATGTTTGTGTGGTTCTAAATAATTCTTACTTTATCAATTAATATCAACCACACAAACCCACTTTTCTTAATAACCGTGCCACCCTCTTCCGTCCCAATATAAATGGGACGGAGGTATTACTTCATATAATCAAATTATTACGTATGTATAAAATGTTACTACCTCGTCCCAATTTAGTGGTCATGTTTTTTATTCACTTAGTCAACACAAATCACTCTTAATCTCTTACGTTATATATCAATATATCAAATTTTTATCAAATTTGATTTTTAGTTTCAGAATATGTTATTTTTTTTTCTAAAAATATTTAGAGCGTGTACAAGGATCTATTTGCTTTATCGTCTGCCAAATCTCGTAACCCGCAATCAGACAATCAAATTGGAACAGAATTGAAGGAGTTTAAATTTCTATTCATTAATGTGAATTTCTAAAATATAATGTTGTTGAAGCATTTGTCTCACACCGAAAAGCTATAATTACAATCAAAGTTATACTTTGACAAACATGAAAGTCAAGTTGTTGCAAGTTGCAACTATTAAAGATCATATGATCGTAATTAAATATACGTCATCGTTTTAAATTCTGTAAATAGAAGTCATAATTTGTGATTAAATAAAAACACAAGACTGCCGCAGGATTGAGGGATTTATTTATATTAAGAGTATAAATTTAGTGTTTAGTCATATGTAATATATATAGAATATAATACCCAGACTTCTGTTTTGGAATTGAACCATATTTTCATTCTTTTAAGGGTTTTTTTTTCGTATTAATATCAAATAAAAACATATTTACAAAATTGGGGTCCAGATAAAACTATTTACCAATATACTGTTGAAACTAACTATGATTGACGAAAGTCGCCAAATGAAAGGGTGACTTACAAATCGCCACTCGGTTTGGCGATTCTTGTATGGGAGTACAACGGGAAGCGTATATAGTACCACCGGTTGTACGGTGCTCACCGTACAGCCGGTGGCATTTTTGTAATTTATATGAAATTCGCGTCTCGTACTAAATGAGTATTAAACCACGCCTAGTGAGCAAGTGACATATTTTGTTGAGCATTAGAAGCATAACATTGAGCATCGTGATCTCTGCTTCATCTCTTCGAATTTACTTTCTTTTCCTTATTTTTTCCTTTATAAAAACTTATTAAATTATATCTATAACCAACTCTTATGAACTCCAGTATGCGAATTTAATGCAATATGATACTTTTGAAATATACATTGTTATGTCATATTACAAATGAGCATAACTTGAATACCCGTTGAGCATACATAACTTATAAAATGAGAATTGATATGAAAATCATAAGTGCTTTTAATTGAACATCAAGACATTTTTATTGAGCATCAACTTGAAAAGTATTGCCAATGATTTTCATTATGCGATTGTGATGAACATTGAGTCTGTTCTTTTTAAATGAGCATAAAATAACACCAAATGAGCATATGTAACTTACAAAATGAGTATCAAAAGATTTAAAAGTCCATTTGTGTATGCTCATTCATTTTGACCTTATACTCATTTGAGTTTAATATTAATATGATACGTTTGAAACGAGTATAAAGAGGTACCAAATGAGCATACATAAATCACAAAATGAGTATAAAAAGTTCAAAAGATCATTTGTGTATGCTCATTCATTTTTGGTTGTATACTCATTTGAGTTTTACATAAAACTCATTTTTAATATGCTCGATATTTATTTGTGTATGTTCATTCTTTTTAAGCTTATACTCATTTGAGTTAAATATAAACTCATTTCAGATTCGTCATCAAGAAATATGAACTCAAATCTCCTAAATCATCTTCCAATTTGTCTTCCCTACATACTTCTTTCCGACCAACAAAGAAATCACCTAGAGTCGTCGTCTCTTGCGTAGCTCTGCTAGAGGAGAAGAGAGTGGCGAGAGGAGAGCTTGAGGAGAAGAGAGCTGTTAGAGGAGTTGCCTGCTTGGAGCTTGAAGTTCTTCGCAAGCACCGCAGAAGCAGGACGAAGCAGGGACGGAGATCGGAGAAGCCAGGCGAGAAGTAGGGAAGAAGATCGAAGAACCGCAGAAGTCCTAAAAAAGACTGGCTGTACCGTGCGCACGGTACAGCCGGCTGTACGGTGTAGTTTACGGAGTACAACGGAACTTACGCACCAAGGGAAGCAAATGAAATAAAAAAGTGGGGCCCATGAAATAAAAATCACATTTTTTCTTTGAAGGTCTATAACTTTTTATTTTTTGCTTCAATTTTTTTAAAAAGTATATCAAAATTCACAACTTTTTATTATCTTTCATATGACACCAATATTGAATATATAATTTTTTTTAAAAATATGAAGGCTTATTAAACAATTTTCTTATTTTCCAATATCCATATGGATTATTTCTTATAGAGTACTATATTAAAAAATAATTCCTATTATTTTATGGAAGTAAAGATATGGGATGAAAACGTGACTTGGTAGACTATATTGTGTTTAAATTTTATATATTAGTGTAGCTATAAAAGTGTATTCATAATCAAGTTAGAGCCCGTTTGATAGTTACTTGTTTGATGAAAATGTTGCCTAATAACTGAATTGTGTAAAAATAAAAATAAGTAAGATCGTAGTTATTTTTCAAGCTAAACTTTTTGAATTACTATATGGGACCATTTTATTTATTTTTCATATAAAGTTTTCATTATTTTATTAATAAAATATATTTTAAATCTAATTTTTTTAATATTTTAAGCGTAATCATCCAATTAAATCTAAATTATTTATGTAGAATCAATATTTTCGTTCGTTACCAGCTTTTTATTTCCTCCATAATGCTACCAGAGACTTAATAATTTTAGTTACAAATCCACATTGATTTTTCTTTCATTATTCGTCTTATCGGGCTTATCAGTCAACTTTTCACCAAACACGTAACTTTTGGTTTCACGCGCTGAAGTGTGTAATAATAAGAAAATGTAAGGTTGAAGTTATAACTTTTCTGCCTGTTTCGGATGAAGTTACCGTAGAGGAGCAATTTAAGAATTTTTACATTTAATTTTTTCTTTATTTTATTAATAAGATATATTTTAAATTTAATTTTTTCTTAAATCAACAGAATCAGCCAATACAGCCACCTAAGCCAGAACTTCATAAATTTTAGCACGATCGGCCGATTCACTCAATTTCAGTGTTACCAAACGACTAAACGAGCTCTAAATGGATTATGGGTACACTTTTATAGCTACACTAATATATAATTTAAACACAATATAGTCTACCAAGTCACGTTTTCATCCCATATCTTTACTTTCATAAAATAATAGGAATTATTTTTTAATATAGTACTCTACGAAATAATCGATATTGGAAAATAGGAAATTGTTTAATAAGCCTTCATATTTTTTAAAAAATTTATATATTCAATATTGGTGTCATATGAAAAATAATAAAAAGTTATGAATTTTGATATACATTTAAAAAAAAATTGAAGCAAAAAATAAAAAGTTATAGACCTCCAAGAAAAAATGTGATTTTTATTTCATGGGCCCCACTTTTTTATTTCATTTGCTTCCTTGGTGCGTAAGTTCCGTTGTACTCCGTATACCAGAATCGCCAAACCGAGTGGCGATTTGTAAGTCGCCCTTTCATTTGGCGACTTTCGTCAACCATAGTTAGTTCCAGCAGTATATTGGTAAATAGTTTTAACTGGACCCCAATTTTGTAAATATTTTTTTATTTGACATTAATAAGAAAAAAAACTCTCTTTTAAGAGCAATTTCTTTTTTTCTTTTTTTTGGTTAAAGAGAAATTTCTTTGAAAAATAACTGTGTATTTCTAATGACCTCCATGGCTGCCCGGCCCATACCTCTAAGGTGAACTATTCAAAAAGAAAAAGCTGCAATTTTTTGTGGAAACAGCTATTTAGGAAGGGAGTATTCTATGTACGGAGTTATGCCTTATTTCTGAAACAAGGATGTTTCAGAATACTGCCACTTTACTTGGACATGCAGCTACAGCACGTACGATTATGATGCTTCAATTCCCCTGGCCAGGGACCGGCTATATATATATATAACAGTAATTATTACTCCATTCAAAAATACTACGTAGTCTGGAGTTTGAGTTATTCCCCACAATCTGAATTCTGAATAAAGCATGGATGGAAGAAACTTCATAGAAGAGCGCCCCCCGGAGGTTGAAGGACACACAAGCAACGATGTGCGAGTCAATGTTCGAGAACTCATCCGATTGATGCAAAGCAAGGTGTGGGAACAGCAGAAATTAATCGGCAAATCGGTCGACAGAAACGATTGCTGCATTTTCGGGGTACCTCAGGGCTTCACCGATTCCGAAGTCGATGCCAGGACGTTTCAACCTCGCACGGTCTCAATCGGTCCATACCACCGCGGGAAGCCGCATCTGAGGGAGATGGAGAAGCACAAGTGGAGGTTTTTGGAGAGAGCGATACGGAGGACGGCGACGAAAAACGGTGCGGATTGGGAGGACTACGTAACAGCTGTGGAAGGATTGGCAGCGGTGGCCAGAGCATCGTATTCGGAGGATATAACTGCTCTCAAAGGCGATGAGTTTGTAGAAATGTTGGTAGTGGTTGAAATGTTTCTCGCATTCACCGGGGTGGATTGCTTTCATGAAGACGATCCATTTCGGTCAATGCAATGGATACAATATAGTCTCCACGAGGACTTTCTCTGCCTGGAGGACCAAATACCATATATCGTACTCCAGAAGCTGTTCGACCTTACTACTGAGGGCTGGAACAACCGCCATTCATTGTCCGACACGGCCCTCGAGTTCTTCAACAATAATAATGCTTTAGGTCACGACTTGGAATGCCTACATCTACTTGATTTAGTCCGGAAAAGTTATATCCCAAAGACTTACAATAAGCTCGGCTTCACCCTAAAGACCCATTGCATCTTGGAGATGCCGGGTGGAACGTCCCTGCTGAAGTGTTTCCCGATAATCGATTGGGAATTAAGGCATCTCAGAATCGGCAAAATTGAGAGCATATCGAAGCTGCGCCGAGCAGGAATCAAGCTAAAGTTGAACAGAGATTGGAAGAAGAGTTTCCTGGCGGTGAAATTCAAGCGGGGAGTGATCTGGATGCCCCGGGTAGCATTGGACGACACAGCGTTCTTGCTGAACTGTGTGGCGTTCGAGCAGTGTCATGGGGAGGTAAGAAATGTGGTATCAGCATACGCGGTCTTTCTGAGCTGCCTCATACGCACAGACAAGGACGTGGACATTCTGCGTGAGGCCCATGTCTTGGACCACTCTTTAGGGACTACGGCTGACGTGGTCGCGTTTGTGGGCAGGCTCGGGAGGGCAGCGGCGTGTGATGTCACTGTAAGCTACTTAAGGCACGTGTTTGGTGGCGTGAACATGCACTACGACAGCCATTGGCACGTTTGGGCCAATTTCAAGTATGAAAACTTCGACACATACTTCAGCTCCCCTTGGAAGGTCACGTCTCTCTGCGCTGCCCTTTTTCTCATCGTCCTCACCACCATCCAAACCCTGATCGCCATTTCCGATTATTTCAAGAAAGGGAAATTCCCATAAAATGAAAAAGTGGGAGTTAATTTGGAATGTTTTTCTGTGTGGCTCAATTTCCCACTGTTCCCACTTTTATTTTCTTCTCTTTTCTTTCTTCTTCACCTGCTATTTTGTAGCCATGGCCGGTTCTTCAAAATAGCAGTTCCAAAATTTCTAAGCCTCAAACTTTGCATCGTTTCCTATTTCATCACATCATATGTTTTCCATTGGCCTACGGAAGGTGAAGTTTACTCTTTTTTTTGTTTAACTTTGAACACTCTAAAACACATTGTTATAGGCTGATATGCAGCCTTAGCTTATTCTTACAAAATGAAAAATTTCTCAAGAAGTGGATTATAGAAATATATATTTACTTGTGTGAACAATGACTCGACTTTCACTAATGAGCATCCCCAAATAATTCTCTCATGACAATGAGTACACGTTTGGTTCTTGACTATGGACATTGAATATGATGATGTAAATGTGAGCTAGGTATAATGCCATGAAGCAAATAGGAAAGTAATGAGATTGCCCTTGTGTGTTAATCAAGTACATCCATTTCCTCTCGAATACATTGATACTAATAAAAAGTAACATAAACTAATTTAAGATTTTGGCATGAGCAACATCTTATTGCTCATCAAGTTAATAGAAATGACTCATTGAATCAGATTAAATCAAGAGAACTAGCAACTCCTTGAATCTATGATGAGATCAATTTTTAGTTTAGTATGGTTCTCTTCAGACCATGTTTTTAGTAACGCTTGTACATCATCAACGAGTCAACGACTCGTAAACTCAGAATATTGTATTTTTTGCAGTTTGGATCCACAACCACTGAACAGTTAATGACAAGTTTTGGGCCTACCGTATTTTAGAGTAAAGTTATGATTTAATCAATCAAAAACAAATAAATGAAATGTTAAATTGAGAAATGCATTTAGTTTAGATGTTTTTCAAAAATATTAGTGCAATATAACTTATTTACAAAAACACGCAGTAAAAATAATAATTACTATAGTATAATGTCATGGTCACTAGTGTGAAATTGAACATATACTATCATGACTAAGTTACTACTCTTACTACATATAAAATGTTACCATGTTCATAAACAATATTTATTTTAAGTAATTAACTAATTATTTCTTAACTTTATTTATCCAAATAACAAAGTAGACGTAGAAAACAACACACACTAACGCATACATATAACATATGGGGAAAGAAACTTCTCTTACATATCAAATTAAATACGAAGTATCAAATTTAAGATAGGGTGTGCCACTCAAAGCTCCCTTTTACACAAATACATGCATATAATGGATGATTTATAAGAATAAAATTCATCGACAAGCACCGTCTTCCATTCACAAAGTGCACTTTTTTGTAGAACTTATAGTACTCCGTATATGTTTTGAGGAAAGGAGTATTTCCTTAGTGGAGAAAATAGATTTAGAAGAAAAAGCGATGTACTTTTTACATTGTGTAAGTGCTGCTTTATTTGATTTCGATATCTTTGTTAATTACTCGATGATTCCACATTATACTTTAGGTACTACTAGTTTAATCTGTGTAATTTTTCATATTTTGGCCTCATCAAATCTTTTGCAACATCTGCAAATTAACTCCAATGGTAAGCTGTGATATTTCATTAACGTTATGTCTGCTAGGTCTCAAACGTAGGTAATTTTTACTTGGGCCTCTCATTTATTCTTCTAGTTTACACTACTTTTGGTATGTGATATTTTTTTAATATTTAAATATATGTTTGAATTATAGTCTGAAGACAAAATAATAGCTCAAAACATTTGTTTTCAGCACAACTATTATGGTTAGGTTCCCTATACATGGGAAAAAGGTCTGGAGATTATTAAAAAAAAAAAAGTGGAAGCAAATGTGGGCTTCAAATTATGTGGAAGCTCTAGCCTAAGATGATTAGAAGAATCAATTTAGAGCAGATAAAGGACTAGGTATTTAGATTGAGAATGGGTGTCATGATGGGGTGAGGAAAACAATGTGTCAATAATGATGTGGAAATATGTTACGCATGAATGCATGATATATACTTCGTGTGTTCCAAATAAAGGTACCCGTTCGCTATTCTTCAGTCAACATAATTTTTTTACTTTTACTTTATATGTCCCACTTTAATCAAATTTGAGTTTTTTGCGACTTTATAAAACTTTTAATATAGTTTCTTAATATTTATATTTACTAGAAACAATTATATAATTGATAGGATCGGTTAACTATATGGTCAGTCAAACATCATAAACCAAACCAGAACCTTTACCCGAGACGGAGCAAGTATACAATTCTTGAACTTCAATTGCCTAAAAGTGATGTGGATTCTTTTATCTCAATACTTAGGTTTATCTATCTTTTCCATTGGGATTTAAATTTTCTTACAACGTTATGTAATTGGCATGTTGCTTTTGTCAACTTTTCTTGCTCTAACTTCCAAACCACACCCATGGAAGATAGTTCAACCAGTTTCAAACAATATCTCTACACTGGTACACTGCAGCATGTTTAACTTATTTATTTAACTATGGTGTGTTCAATCCAACAACATTTGTGTGCGCGAGTTCATACTATGCATAAAATAGTACCAACCAAGAACAAATCGTGATAAACATTCCCATTGTGCAATGCACGTAGCACAACTAGCATATTTATTGATATAGATTGTTACGATAATTGAAAGATAAAAACTATCATCTCACCACAACCAATGAAATGATTTACTTGAAAAATGTTAGGGGTTTCAACATTAAGAACCGTATACTGGCTGATTTTTTAAATAGGAAACTTACATAATACTCCCAAGATCGGTACATGAAGCGTCTACAATACATGAATACAATTAGGTGGAACACCCGTCCAGTCGTCCATGAAAGGCGATCTGTCAAACAAACAAAATGTCCCACTAAGACTAACTGGCATGATTCACAGGTCGCTTAGCATGCATAAAATCCAAAGTGGTACTAAGAGTTCTCATAACTCTCAACAGAACATCAATGGGCAGCTCACAAGAAAAGGCACGTCCTTGTTTCAACTACCACTGTTTGTTTAATGATTCTGCTACAAGGAGAGAGAACCGAAGTGAAAATAAAGCAGCCACTCGCCCACTCAGGATAAGATGCTTTGGCAATGGGTAACGATGTAGAAATGTTCTTAAAGGTTCATTTCATTTCCTCCCTTATATAAATGTGTGCTTGTAGTAGTCTTGCACCTACTCTATTTTCTTTCACAAGAGTTTGTCTTCAAAATTTCAAACTCAAAAAGCTTCAACTGCTCTTGTATTTATCTGCATCATCTTTGGGTGCTAAGCCTATTTCCTGCATTTGATGTTCAGGGGAAACCAAACCAGTCTCGGCAAGAAACCTGAAGGATCAAAGAAGCATATAAATCTGAATAGTACATCTTTTTCCATACCAGACACTACAATTCAAGTACCAGGCTTGCTCCATAAATTAAAAAAACTGGTAAATGATGTCAATATTAAATTTAACAAAATCCAAATAAGTGCAGAGATATATTTGGAGTAACTTAAGGCTTTGGACTACTGGACTGAAAGCTGTGGCAAGCTAATGCTAGCAGAGTTAGGAAGTTGTAATTTGTCAACCGTGCAAAGAGAAGCACAAAGTAGCAAAGGGTTACTAGTTGCAAACTCTAAAGATAAATTACAGATAATGGGAAGCAAGGATTGCAGATAAAAGAGTTCAAAAATCACACATTGTCCGCAAAAAAAAACACGCAGGCATAAGAGACTAAAATGTGATATCAAAATTGCTAGCGATTCTCAACCACAATATGAGGTAGTGATTTTGCAACTATCATAAATGAAATGGTTGTTTCATATTATTTTAAAATATTTACGAAAATACCACTTTGTCAATATCACCCATTGATCGGAAATATAAAAAAGTTGGAGACCAAAGGTTATCATTTATAAATATTTTCTCATTGTAAGATGTGTAATGTGTTTGCATAATCTCCTGTGTATATATGTATGTGTATATCCAATGACACACACATATAAGTAGTAACAAATAAAATAAATCAAACCATAAAATAAATAAAACTAAACAAATCTTGTAAGTCACGATTTGAACTAGGTTTTGAGGATGGTGAGATGTATGTTGACGTGCTTATACTATTTCCACAAACAAACACTAGGAGAAACTAGACAGATTTCAAACTTGCTTTGATAGGATGGGATTCTTTAATTATGGAAGAAGGGTGGCTCGACTCACGATCCACAAGAAAATTCAAACAGATAAGTCTGTTGTAGATGAATACTGACCAAATACCTTAGACAAAAAAATTGTGAAGTATTGGATGGAGTTTATTATCATCAAAACTCTCTTAAGATGGTACTTTGTGAAGGTCAAGGATTTCTGGTAAAAACCAGTCACAGAACAATAGACTATAATGGCCTGCTCTAAACTCTCATCCCATTGAGTAATGAGGCACATCAGTTGTTAATCTAAAAATGAATTACACAATCTGTACATACTGAGTGATTCAACAAATACAATGCTGAATATATCATAAAAGTTATGAAATCAATTGAACAAATCAATCACTTAAGCATGAGAATAAATTCAAATTTTCAATTTGACCTGCAAAGCAGACAGAAAAGGCTCCCAGTTATAAAAACAAGGAAAGTCACATGGAGAGTCAACATATAGTCACTTGAAGAGAAAGCCAATCCCAGCATAGCAGCTAGACACACGGCCAGCATCAGGAATGCAATCTTCAAAGTATTCCAAGTTGGAGCCTAAGATCAAAGTAGAAAATGTCCTCAAAATCAGAAAAGTTCAAATACTCAGGGATTGAAACTTAATCAAGAAATAATTATGGGGCAATGAAGACAATAGCAAAAATTGAACGGACATTGACGCCTGGAGCGAGAGCCCCAACAAAGACAGCTTGCAGTGGCGACAGTTCTTCTCTTTCAGGTTGCTTCGTTTCCATTGAGAGCGTGTTATCGGAGATCTTTATTAGATCCCTGAAAGATGCTTGGAGAAGCAAAACAGGAGGGAGGCTAGCAGGAAATTGTGATTTGCAGAATTGGTGTTGGTTAGACCGCTTTTATTTGGTCTATAGTCTACACAAGAATAATATAACCCATAAAAGGAAAACAAAAAAGAATTACATAAATACTTCTATTATTAATGAAAAAATTATGACAAAAAATGTTACTTGAATAAAAAAAATATAACTATATCATAGTGACTTTGATTACAATGGTTATATTAAAACCTATCAAAATATATTTTTGTCCAGCATTTTTTCAAAAGGGGATGCTGTAAGAAATTGGGCAAAACTTGGAGCGACGAGAACATAGAGGAGTACAAGGAGGCTAGAAGAAGAGCAATGAAAGCTGTAAAAGAAGCAAGAGGAAAAGTGGACAATGAATTGTATGCAAAATTGGACTCTAAGGAAGGAGAAAAAGATATTTACAGACTTGCTCGTCTTCGTGACCGTAGGACTCAAGATATAGGAAAAATTAAGTGTGTGAAGGATGTCGATCAAAGGGTACTAATGGAGGATGGGGAGATAAAAGAGAGTTGGAGGTCATACTTTGATACCCTATTCAACGGGAACAAAGCGCAAGATATCGGTGATTTGACCATACCAGATTGTATGGTAAATTGTGATTTCGTGAGACGGATCCAAACAACGGAAGTTAAGGAGGCTCTGAGAAAGATGGGGCGGAAGAAAGCAGTGGGTCCAGATGGCATACCAATCGAGGCTTGAAGAAGTTTGGGAGAGAGAGGTGTCGAGTGGTTAACAAGTTTCTTCAACATGATTTGGAGAAACAACAAGATGCCAACGAGTTGGAGGAAGAGTACTCTTATCCCCTTATTCAAGAATAAAGGTGATGTGCAAGAATGTGCCAACTATCGAGGGATTAAGCTTATGAGTCACACCATGAAACTTTAGGAGCGAGTGATTGAGCAAAGACTTCGAAGAACTGTGAAGATTTCAGAGAATCAATTCGGTTTTATGCTTGATCACTCAACAACTAAGGTCATTCACTTTCTTCGGCAACTTATGGAGAAGTTTAGAGAGGCTCACAAGGATCTGCATTTGGTGTTCATTGACTTAGAAATGGCTTATGATAGGGTACGTACCTCGAGAAGTTCTTTGGTGGGCCTTAACTAGAAAAGCCATATCCCGCAAGTATATCAGCATCATCATAGATATGTATGAGGATTGTACTACTGTAGGGAGGACTGCGGAGTTCCTTATTACTATCAGAGTGCACCAAGGATCGGCTCTGAGCCCTTTCTTATTTTCCATAGTCATGGATGAACTTACGAAGTCAATTCAAGACAAAATACCGTGGTACATGATGTTTGCCGACGATATTGTATTGATTGATGAGAGACAATCAGGTCTTAAAGCAAAGTTGGAAGTATGGCGACAAACATCGGAGAACAAGGGCTTCAAACTAAGTCAGAGCAAGACAGAGTACATGGAGTGCAAGTTTGGTGGAGGTAGAAGCAGTGGTAATAGTGGAATTACTCTAGATGGTAAGGAGATATCGATCAGTGATATGTTTCGTTACTTGGGCTCCATAATTCAGAAAGATGGTGAGTTAGATGGAGATGTATCGCATATAATCAGAACAAGGTGGATGAAGTGGAAGAGTGCGTCAGGATTTCTATGTGATAGAGGTATGCCGACAAGACTGTAGGGTAAGTTTTATAGGAAAGCAATTAGGCCTGCATTGTTGTATGGTGTTGGGTGGTGAAACAGTGTCACATTCAAAAGATGAGTGTGACAGAGATGTGCATGATGTGTTGGATGTGTGGGCATACTAGGAAGGACCATGTGAGAAATGAGACAATCAGACAAAGGGTGGGAGTAGCAGTTATTGAAGACTAGATGCGGGAGTCGTGCCTACGGTGGTTTGGTCATGTGCGTAGAAGACCGAGTGATGCACCTATCAGACGTGTTGAGATGTGTGGAGAAGATGAGGGAAGAGAGGGAGAGGAAGACCCAAACAAACATGGGTTAGGGGAGTCCGAAGTGATATGCTTCTTCTTGGATTGGATGAGGGTATGACTTTGGAGAAGGCAAAGTGGAGGGCGGGTATTCGTTCGTGCGGTTAGTTTTTTTTGTGGAACGAGAGCTTCCTGCGGTTTTTCTCTTTGGTGTTTCGGAACGTGAGTGGAATGCAATGGCAGTGAGGTGTGGTTTGGATTTTTTGGGGGCGAAGAAACACAAGTCAACATGATAGAGTTTTCTTCTGCACCTCAGACATGAATTTCAATGACAAATCTCAAGAAGCAAATTAGCCAGAGCAAATTGGCGAGCACAAGAAGGATAGGGTTTCAAACGAATTTTCCTGGGGTTGAAATTCTCTTCTACCATACTACAGCACCTCGCCCTCCTTCGGAACCACCTCCGAGCAAAAAAAGCAATTTGGGGAAGTTTTTATTTTCGTATTATTTTTCATTTCGTAGTACTTATTTTTATTTCAGTTCGAGTAGGTATGGTTGGAATGTTTTGATTTTTGAAGAACTTATGATAGACATGACTTCATTTTCGATCGTTTTAGGCTTCTTCTTGCCAGTTTTGTGTCTAGAGAGTCAGGTTGCTTTGTATGGTTGGCTGACTCTAAGTCTATTCCTAGGACTTACGATTGGACCTATAATAGTTGTTTGGATTTTGTCTTGCATGTTTGCTCTATATTAATGAAAAACTGTTTTGATGATTAAAAAATGTGCTTTATCATAAGAACTTGTTTTTACTCCAGGGGCGTCTGGGGGCTTGGAGTAATTGGGGCTGAAACTCACTCCATTGAGTTTCAAACCCGAGACCTCCCATAAGAACTTCACAATTTTCTTTCAAAAGTCTCTTACTTTTTTCTTCTTCCTCTTTTTTATTGGTCTTTTCTATTTTATTTCCCTGTTAAGTATTCCAATTGGTGGAATTATCTTTCTAGAAAATATTTGTCTTTTGTACTAAAAACAAAATAAAAATATAAAATATAAATTGAAATAAAAAATTATACATTATCTCCCTATTTTTCATTTACATTTAATATCAAAATATTTATACTATATATATTTTCTAAGTATGTTAATATTTGTATTTTATGTATCATATTTGATATTTTTATGGGAGCAAAGTGTCAATAAGTACATTAAGAGCATGTTTGTTAACACTAAAATCGGCTGATAAGCCTCCTAAGCCGAATAGCAGTGTCACCAAACAGGCTCTAAGTTGTATGCAGTGGAGTAAAGAGTACATTTTATTGCAACTAAAATTTACAAGTATATAAACTCTGAAAAATAGTGTTAATTAAGTATAAATTCGAATTTAACTTTAAAATTGCTTATATGGCGATTAGTAATCGTCTATGTGGTAAATCAGTAAATGGTTGAGTTCAAGTCAGCAATCGGCATCATCTTTATTCTAATTATATCTAACCCCAATTAGCAATCGCTTATAAGTTTTGTAGGTCTTGAGGTGGATGCGGCGACGTGGTGTTTCATGGCTTAAGTCTTAACTGAAGTGAGAACTTGAAAGAGTTATGTGTTTGCAACCTGAGATGATGAGCGATGGTTGCTACTGGATAAGATTGAAAAAATACGAGTGTTATTTTGGCGCGCGATAGAAAATTGCCCAATATGATTTTTATAGTGGAAATATTAATATATGCTATTCTGTATTTAGCTTTTCTAATAACAACATAGAACGATAATTTAATCAAATTTAGACAAGCGCTCGAGTAGTGTTGATGCTCAACACTATAGCATATATAGAATAAAGACATTATGCACCATAGTAGAACATGAATCAAACGCAATATTTGATTAATAACGAAATAGCTATCATGTTAATAGGTATCAATATCCCTTTTAACATGATTGATGTTAGTTGATCTCAAAATCTTTTGAAAAAAGGCTTGGATATAAGTATCTAGCTAAAAACAAATGAATGTAATGCATGTAAAATGAATGTAATGTAACTGATCTTCAAAATGCATTCCTCTATCAATGTAAAAAACAACAATTAGATCTTGGTCACCTTCCTAAGAATTAATCAGGCCTTAAGTTTAAGTTGAATATTAAGATTTTAGACAATCTATAGTAATTCCATAAACAAATGAATTTAGACTATTTAGTAGACACAAATAAAGAAAGCATTAGTAAACCAAAATCTTCTAGAAGCATATATGAGTGATCGATAACTTTTTAAAATACTATCTGAAGAGTGAAGACTGAAGAATCTAACATGAGTGATCGACAACTTATTAAAATACTATCTGAAGAGTGAAGACTGAAGAATCTAACATAAGGCAAATTCCGAACTATAAATTCTTCTAAGAATGAGCGAGAGCCTTAAAATTTTGAACTCAAAAAATAAATCATTTTAAAAAAAGTGATTAAACGTACCACTTTAGTCCCAGAACATCATTAATCTCTCTTATACCAATTCCATTCAATATACCAAGTACAATAATAGTAGTAGTAATATTAATAATATTTTTGAAAAAGAACACGAGCATAAGAGGGGGTTTAGGCATTTGGAAGAGCATGGTGCCATACACAGTAGATATCAACACAAGCATGAAGAGGTGCTGGAAGCAAACCATGACAAGTAGACATTTGGGAAGTTCTACCACCAGCCCAATCAAACATAGGAAATCTAGCAATGCAACCTCCACATAAGTAGCCTGGTCAATGAGTGAATTCTCTTGTGTAAGTGATTCTTTGAGACCCCCAAAATAATATACTTAATAAATCTAAAAGAAAAACACTTGAGCAATACAATTAACTGATGCACCTAATATACTTATTAAAAGATGTTATTGGCAATATGGTTCATAGCATTGTTTAATAATTTCTACTTGTTGAGAGCTATTATTTTTAAGAAGGGATGTCAAAGCTTAACCGCTATACAAAACTTTCTGCATTTTGTTTTCCACATCCATAGCTTTTATCAAATAAGTTCAGGAAACTTTGAATTCAAGTATCCCATTAAATATACCGCTAATATAGATTACGGTGCACATAACATGTGTATATATTAAATAACTATCTTATAGAAATTATAAAGGAAAAGTATATTGTTTGGGAAATGCT